CTGCAGGGGCAGCCTGGGGATCCTGCTCAGAGGCTCTCTGCGCAGGTTGGGAATGTGGCTGTTTCTCCAAGCAAGAAGGGCTGGATGCCTGCAACCTTCCCCATCCCTCTGGAACAGGCGTGGACATAAGCAGGGTGAACACAGGGACACTCAGACTCCTTTTCTCCTCACAGGGGGATTTGCAAAGCCACTTCATTCCTCTGTCTGACCCCCACCCCACCATGGAACCGAAGGGGCAGAGGGTGCATTGGATGTGCCCCTGTGTGACCGGGTCCCTGCCAGCTCTGCCTGTCCCCCTCCCACAGCGGCAGCCAGTGCCTCTGTCCCTCTGTCCCGCTCAGGATAAACCATCTGCAAAGCCTGAGCCACCATGGCAGAGGAGAAGGCAAAAAGGACATTTCCCACCAGCCCAGCCCTTCCTGGTCAGATGTCTCAGCCACTGTGAGCCACTGCCAGCCCCTGGTGGCCCAGGCCTTGCCCTGGCTCCCTGCTCTGCCCCCGGGGGCCTGGACCCTGCAGGCAGTCACTGGCTCACAAGCAATTCCTGTCCAGTGGGACAGAGCCAAAGTCACCACCAGCTCAACTCCTTCTTCTATTTGGAGGCCAAGGAGAATGGGAAGGAATCCTCTCCTGGGGCTCCCCAATATCCCACTGTGCCAGCCTGGGGAAAGGTTACAGACAGGATGGAGCTGGGAAGGCTTTTGAGGTGGAGGTGATTAATGCAGGGTTCATCTGAATTTAATAAGGGACACCAGGAACGCCCTGGCATGAAATCCCTCCCATCCCTCTGTGGGAGCAGAGCGAGAGGAGCTGGCTATGTGGGAGGATTTGATTTCCCTGGTTGTGATGAGGGTGGAGGGGCCCCAAGCACTGCCCTGCAAATGCCTCCCTGGACCACCACGGAGGTGAGAAAGCCCCAGGTTTGACTGGAAGTTTTTCATTGGGAGTGTTTGGCGGGCGCTTCTCTCGGAGTTTCTGGTCAACTCCTTGTCTGAGGTGAAGTTTCCTTTCTGCTGAATAAGAAGCTTGCTCGGAAATTGCTCTGACATGAGACACATCCCAGCCTGGGAACCCTTCGGCAGCGGAGCAGAGCCTGTCCAACACCAGGCTCCCTGTGCTGCCTGTGCCAAATCCCTATCTGGGAACACAATGTGTTTCCTTTCTCTCCCTGCGCTCACTCCTGGGTTTGTTAAACACTCTCAAGGCGTCACAGAGGGCCAAAATCCGAGCAGCGCCCAGCACCTGCAGCCGCCACTGACGTCAGGAACACCTGCAGGTGCAGGGAGCATCTCCTGGCTCCATGGGCGGAAGGCTGTGGGGATCCAGAGCCAGCACTGGGAATGGAGTCTGGAGCTCTCCAAGTGCCTGTCAGCAGGATGCAGCCTGGGCTTGTCCAGTGGTGCTTTATCCAAGGGAAAGGCAGAGGTGCTCCGTGCAAGCTGAAGGGAGGGTGCTTGGCTGGGCTCATTGCCAGCACTCCAAATAACACCGCAATTCCGGAGAAGCTGCAGTGGTATTTTCATATATATTTTAGTGATGTTAAATCTGATCAAAGACCCTGCCTGCATTTTCCTGTGTCCACACAAGCTCGCCAGCAGCTGAGCTCTGACAGCGGTTTAGTTCAGACCTTTCCCAGCTGCAATCCCCTCTCCCGGGGGAGCTGGAAGCTGCATCAGGACAGACTGGGCTGTCTGAAGGGGGCTTGGGCTGGACCAGTGCTGAGCAAAGAGCCAGCCCAGCAGCGCTGGAGAGAGGCAGGATGGAGAACAGACCTCTGAGCTCTTCTCCAAGCTGAGTTCTCCCTGGAGCACTCCGGCTCCCAGGCGCTCGGCCAAAGCCGGACCGCGGGGCCAAGCTCTACGTGGATGAGTTACTTGCCAGGTAAAGCTGATGGGAACCTGAAGCTGTGCAAAGCTCTGCAGGAGCAGATCCCTGGAGAACATCTCCTTGGGACAAGCCCTGTCCTCTCCATGTGCAGCGCTGGGATCTCACAAGGAGCTCTAAAGAAAAAATCGATCTAGCTGGCAAAAAACATTCCCGTGGGAAATTTTGACTTTCTGTCTAAAACTCCAGAGCATTTCTTTTTCAGCCCCAAATGAGCATGAATGGGAACAAAGATTCAGTTTTGGCAGGGGAAATGGGCTAACCAAAGAAAACACCCAAATTTTTAAGCAAAGTAGACACATTCTATAATTTTTCTCTTTGGATGAAAAGAATAAGAAAAATAAAACTCCCAACGATTTTCCAGAAAGGAAAAAAGTAAATTCAGAGAAAAAAACCGCAACCAGTTCTCTCACCGCTACCTGATGCAAATTCAGCTGATTTGGCCGATTCACCTTTCCCTCGGCACGGCGGCTCGGGACGCTCCGGCCGCTCTGATCCCCTTTGCAGCTGGAAGGAGCCTCCAGCGTGCGGAGGCAGCAGCAGCAGCAGCAGCAGCAGCTCCCCGCTCGTCCCCTGCCCCTGCCCGGCGCGGGAGGCTCCGCAGCCCCCGCTGACCCGGGCCTGACTTTCTCTCGGGATTTGGGAGAGAAACCAGGGTGGGCCGACGGTCATGAGCGAGTGGGTGGGAGTTGAATGGGGTTATTGTGATCTTTATCTGGGGGGATTACTCCAGGCGGTGTGGGCTTGGCAGGGCAGCGCGGGTGTTTGGCCGTGGCTGGTTTTACAGACTGATAGGTGCGGCCCCAGGGAAGGAGCAGCAGGACTCGGCTGCGAAAAATTGTTTTACGGTAGCTTCATCCTTGCAAAACATTCACTTCCCAGCAAAGCCGGTGGAAAAGGAAAAAACAGAGCGATTTTCGTTTGCAGAAGTCTGACGCGGCTAGGACTGCACATGGTCTGAAATGCAAAGCCTGGCATAAAAGTGACATATTTTACTGGAAACTGGGAACTTGCTTCCCTTTTATTGGAAATAAATTGGAAGGGAGAACGATGGTAGGAGGAATGCGCCAGCACAGTAACTGAATAGAAGCGTTTTCAGGAGCATTTGGGGATCCTGCGGAGTAGACCGGGGGTCCGATAGCACCCCGAGACCGCACCAGAATTTACGGCATCGCCGATAGCAGTGACTCTGCAGGCAGGGAGCGGGGCTGAGGCTGGGAAAGCCGGTCCCCTCCTGGTCCCCCGGCCTCGCTGCTGGGCAAGAGGCAGTGCTGGGAAGCAAACGAGACACGGAGCTCCGTCCCGAGCGCCGCCGGGACCCGCGGGCCGGGGGAAGAGCAAACCCGGAGCTGACCCCTGCAGCAGAGGAGCAGCCGCCGATCCGCAGCCCGGGGGAGCGGGGGCTCCGCGTCGGGGCCGAGCATCGCTCCGAGGCTGCGGGACCCCGCACCCGCCCCCGGAGCTGCCACCGAGTGTGCCCCGGTGCCACCGGGCCGCGGGAGCGGGCCCCTCTCCCCGCCAGATAAGCCGCCTCGGCCGTGCCTCCCTGGTGAAATTGCGCTCTCTGCAAGGGACACATCTGATTGTGATTTGAGGGAAAAAAAATTCAAAAAAATGAAAAGAAGGGAAAGAAAACAAAAAAAAAAAAAAAGAAAAAAAAAGAAAAGAAATAAAAAATAGGCGGCCAACCCCGGCCGCTCGGCGAGGGTTTTTTCCTATCGTCGGAGCTGCAAATATTTTGGAAGACGGGGCCGTGTTTTCCGTGTAAACAAGGCAGCGGCGGCGGCGGGCGGCGGAGCTGGGGCTGCGCTCCGCGGGGCCGGGGGGTCCCGGCGTGGGGAGCCGAGCCCAGTCCGGGCCACCCCAGCCCCGGGCCCGGGTCCTCAAGGGGACACGGCTGAGCACCGGCCCCTTAAACCGCGAGAAGAGGAGCGGCAGCGCGTGGGGATCCCGCTGGGAAGCGGGGGTGGAAGATCGGAGGGAACATTCGGCGGGATGTGTGGGGCTCACGGAGAACTCCCCAACTCTTAACTCTTATCCACCGCGGCAGAGAAGAGGACGCTTCCTCTCCGCCCGGGGACAGCCAGCACGGCGCGCGTTTCTCGCTCGAGATGAAAAGAACCGGCGGCTGCCCGGCTCTCATTTGGCCCTGGGGCTCGTTCAAGTCCCCGCCGCCGCCTCCCAGGGCCGCCCGCACCTCCTGAGGATGTAGGGACGGGAGCTGCAGGCTTCGCCGCGCTTCCCTGCCGTGCTGCCGGCTGCCTTCCCTCTCCGGAAAGGGCCAGAGCCCATCCCCATCCCGCCCGGACGAGGAGCCTCTCGGGCTTTGCGGCGGCTCTGAGCCCGTGTCCCGTGGAGGAGAACGGGCCGGCGGGCGAGCTCCGGGATCCCCGCACCGGAGCCGGGCCGTGGGCTGCGGGCCCCCCGCTCAGGACCCGCCCGGGACGGGAGACGCTGCCCGGCCAGCCAGGGCCCCTCCGCGCTTCTCCGGACACGAAAGGCGTTTTCCCAGAATCCCGAATGTCCCATATCCCCGCTCCTGAGATCCTTGTTTTTTCCTGCCTCGCGTTTCCGAGCTTCCCTTTGCTCTGCCCATCGGAGTCCCCCGCGGACCCCGTCCTGCGCAGCCGGGTGCCTCCAGTGTCCCCGTCCCACGTCTCCGCGGCCCTCGGTATCCCCTGCCCCAAATTCCTGTGCCCGGCCGATGGTCCCAGGTCCCCCGTGCCCTCTGTTTTGCACCTGGAGATCCCTCGGTGCTGTCAACCAGCGGGCTCCGGAGTACCTCAGTGTTCCCTGCCTTGAGCTGCCGGGTGCCTCAGTGTCCCATCCCCTGCGCTCCCGAGTGCCTTCACATCCCTGCTCCGCGCTCCAAGGTCCCTCGGTGTCCCGTCCTCATCCCTACGCTCTCCGGTACCTCCTGCTATCCCGTTCTCCATCTCCCTGCGTGTCCCCGCTCTGCTCGGCGTGTTCCTGGACGTCCCCGTGCCTTTCGCTGCCGTTCCCCGCGGCTCCTTCGCTCTGCCCTCCCTCTGCCTCCCCTCCGGGGACCTCCGCGCCCCGTCCCCGTCCTCCTCCTCCTCCCCGCCCGTGCCGGAGCGTCCGCGGCCGGGACTCACCCACACACTCGTTGGCCTCCCGGGCCGTCGCTCGCTGCCAGGGCCGGTCGTAGTGGAAGGGCTTGCAGCGGTCGCACTCGGGGCCGGCCGTGTTGTGCTTGCAGTCGCACACCAAGCTGTCGTCGCGGTCTCGGACGCAGCGCGACGCGTGCCCGTTGCACTTGCAGCGCCCACCGACCTGCAGGTCGGACACGGCGTAGAAGTAGGAGTCGCGGGCCAGCTCGGAGTCGTCCTCGCTCTCGTCGCCGAAGGTGTGCAGGCGACTGAAGGTCACCCTGATGTCGGTGGCCGTCACCCAGTCCTGCAGCACGGGCGAGTTGTCGAAGTCGTGGGCGGTGGGGCGGCCGTCCAGGGTGCTGAAGGCGATGAGGCCGCCGGAGAGGGGCCGCACGTCGGTGTGCGAGTCGGTGCACACCGCCTCCTGCTCGTTCTGCTTCGTGATGGCGGCGCGGCTCGGCTTGTTGTACATCTTGCGGCACTGCGTGGAGTAGAACTGGAAAGGCACCCAGGTCTTGCCGTAGTCCATGGACTTGTGGATGGCCATGGACTCGGGGCGCGGCGAGCAGAACTGCAGGCTGACGTAGGTCACCTCGAATTTCTTGCCGAGGGAGAGGGTGAGGGTGACGTTGTGGGGATACTGGACGTAGCTGTCGGACTGCCAGCAGGTCAGGTTGTGCGGGTTGTTGAGGTCGGTGAGGAAGGAGGGCGGGTGGGCGCGCTTGGGGTCGGAGGCGTTGCAGAGGTGGCAGGTGCGGACCTGCTCCTCTCCCTTCTCCGTCACCACGCAGTACCGCGACGGCGGCTTCCCGCAGGTGCTGGACACCTTCACCTCCTTCCCGAAGGCCGAGTTGACGAAGTCGGGGATGCAGCGGCGGGGCAGCCCGTGCTCGTCGTAGCAGGGGTCGGGCTGGGCGGTCTGCACGGCGAACATGCTCACGCCGTGGTAGCCGCCGCGCAGGGGCTGCGCCAGCCACGCCGCCGCCAGCAGCAGGGCCAGCGGCGCCTCCGCTCCCCTCCGCGGCATCCTGCGCGACCTCCGCGCGGCGTGGGGACAGCGGGGAGGGGGACACGGGCCACACCGGGGAGCCGCCGCTCGACCGCGCCGCTCCGCGGGGCACCTCGGCCGGGGACGCGGTGCGGCGGCTCAGGGAGCCCGGAGCATCGCCCGCCCCGCGGCCAGCCCCGCGGAGAAAGGGGAGACCGCGACGGCGGCGGCACCACAAAAGTGGGGCTGGCGGCGGGGCTGGGTCCCGCCTGCCTCCCGCCCCGGCCCTCGCACGGAGAATGACTGGCGGTCCCAGCCCCCGCCGCGTTTGAGGTCATGCTAAAGGAGTGACATCGCGCTCAAGGAACAGAACAACGACATCCACTGGCGGCTCAGCCAGAGACGAGCGCAGGCCTCGGGGAGGGCGGGGGGGGGGGGGGGGGGGGGG